AGATAGATAGATAGATAGATAGATAGATAGATAGATAGAATCCCTCAATTCCCATCATGATCAAGACTTCGGGCCAGGTCTTTAGGAGAGGGGCTGGGAAAGTTTGGGTCTATTTGGGGCCTTGACATGTATGTCTTCTCCAGCACCCTCGCACATAGCACTTCCTTTAGACCTCTCCTATGGACTTGAGTTTGACAGCTACAACTCCGTGCATCCTTCCATCCCTTACTGTACAGTCAGTACCTTCAGTCCTAAGCTGCTGCTGCTGGAGAAGAAAAACAACCTCCCTGAATGCTTAATATGTGCTGGAACTTTCCAAGCACTGTATTTACACTTACTCATTTAATCTTTGGATAATTCTGTAAAGTCTCTTATTATCATCCCCATTTTGCAGATGAGAAAGCTGAGGCACAGAACCATTTGGTAATTTGCAAAGAGCACAGAGTCCTAACTGGCAGAGGCCAGACCCAGTCCAGGGAGTGAGACCCCCAGGCTTTCACCCCCACGCTGTGTCTGATCTCCCTGTGTGCCTTTATGGAGCGCCGCAGACAATAGGTGCTCAGTAAAGATTGAGTTTTAAAGAATCATTACTCATGAACCCTTATTACAGATATGTTATGATAGAAACTTCTGATCAATGGATCTGTTTTACCTGGATGTCAGCTACAAAAGTCTTTGGGTTTGTCTATTTCCTATTCCTTCCTTCCCTCCATCCTCCCTTCCTCTTCCCTTCTTCCCTCCTTCTTTTATTTCCTTCCTCCCTTCCTTCCTTCCTCTTTCCCTCCTTCCCTCTCTTTATTCCTTTTTTCTTCCTTTCTAGTTTCGCCCACCCATCACCTTGCCCAACTTACAGCAGAAGCTCTGGCAAGATAGAAGCTCCAAACTCATAATGGCTTCCACGTGCATTCACTCCCAACTTGGCCTGTGACAGGTTCCCTGCTCAGCCAAGCTGTGCCGTCACCATCAGGCAAGCTTCCTGGTAATCCTCACATTGAATCCATGTGATGCACCATTGGGAGACTGACATCAATCTTGCTCTGGAGCCAGGGGGATGGACCCACTGACCCCCCCAACCCCCGCTCCAACCTTTCCAATTTTGGGTCCAAAATAGAGTCACCTTTGTGGTTTAAAATATCCTTTTTTTTTTCTCTCTCTCTTTAATTAGTCCCAGGAAATAACACTCTAACTTATAAACAATCCTACTTTGAGGCCTCTCCACACTCTCCACACCCTTTCAAGGCTCTCCTCCCCTCAGGAAGCCTCCTTTGCTAATCAAGTGGAACTGAACTTCTCTTGTGTGAACCATAGTCCTTAGCTTTTCTGTGCTGTTCACTCCCTAATCCCTCTATTCAGCTTCCTCTGGCCTTGCCTTATTCCCAGCTCCAGGCAGGACCCAGACTGCACACATACTTGGTCCCCACGCCCAGTTTCTTGCAAGCAGATGTCGTCGTTCCAACATTGATTGATATGTTTAATGAATCCCATATTTTAAGAACCCAAACTGACCATACATAACTTAAGGGTGGTTTTTCTCCATTTAAAGGGAATTCTGAGTCACAAATCCTGTCCCTGTCCTTCACCCCACTCCCCTAGCGCCCTCTCCCCCCGCCCCCACCATTCCTGCTTGAGTAAACGACATTAACAACCATGGCTTCTGCCCTGCTGTGCACCAAGCCCTGTGTTAAGGACTTTTCTGACAGTGCCTCACTTAATTATCTGGAGTACTTTATGAACTCGGTCTGAGTCTCTATCTCCGTTCCACAAAGAAGGAAACCTGTTGGAGAGATTGCATATTGTGCCCAAGATTGTACAGCTAGTGGGCAGCAGAGCCAGGATGGAAGCGCTCTGATTCCAAAGACTTCATTCTTAGCTTTCCGAGGTCCAGACTTTCTCCATCTCAGGTCCGGTGGGAAGATTCCTCCTATCTGGAGCCACACAGGGCTCCCTTTTCCTAAGACTGGATCTCCCCGTGATTTGAAGACAGTTCCTGGAGTTACCTTCCCTCCTGTCTAAAAGACCTAGAGTGGACTTCACCTCCCCCTGCAGCCGGTTTCTAGATGTATGCTGGCCTGGTGGCCTGATGCCCTCCCCAACACTCCTTTCCCCCAACAACTTAAAGCGGCAATGTTTGCTTCGTGGCTCTAGGATCTGGACTGAAATCCATGGCCAGAAACTCTTTCAACTACAGGCCCTTCCAGAGTCTCCGCTAGAGACAGATGGGGGGTGCACTTGTTTCCGCGGTACCCTGGGACCGCGGTGAGTGAGCCCGGGCTGGGGGGTCGCCACCGGTGCTCCCTGTCTGCTCCTTCCCTGCTGCCCCCGCGTCTGACCCCAGTACCGCTCCAGCCCCAGCCTGACCCATGCGGAAGGGGAGGCGAGGCCGGGCGGCCAGTCCCCGCGGCGGGCTCTGGTCCCCGCCGGGACACTCCGCTGCGCAAAGGAGAGGCCCCGAAAGCGGTCGCCGCCGGTAGAACGGCGCCGCTGGCCGCCACCCCGGGTCGGGCCGGGTCGCCGGGGGTGGAGAAGCCCGGGCCGGGTGGCCCCAGTGCGGAGAGCCCAGGGCCCGCTTCTGGCTGCCGGCAGTGCGCCCGGCCGGCCCGAGGTCCTCGCCGCGCCCCGACACCTGGATTGCATTAGGCGGGCGGCGCGCGCCTCGGCGACGGCGGCTTCCCCCGATTATTGAATAACTGCATAATTTCGAGCGCCGGTTGCCCCGTCCCTACCCCGCGTATCAGGTAAGGTTTCTGGGGCCCTGGACTGCGAAGCTGCGCCCGTCGCCTTCGGCCCGGCCGGCGACCGCTCGCCCCTGGGGCTTCGTCCTAGGGGCCCCCGCCCTGGGGCTTCGTCCGACCGCGGCCGGAGGGACTCTGGGCAGCGCTCGGCGCCCAGGTCCCCCCAGCTCTCCCGGGCCGCCGCGCCCGGCTCCCCAAACTTCAGGCGCCTCCCTCCGCAGGCAGGAGGGCTCCCGAGGCGGCGCTTGCTCCGCGCGCCCGGACCCCTCCCAGCCCGGGCCACGCGCCCTCCGCGCTCCCGGGACGCCCGAGTCTCCCCGGCGGGGCGCCCGGAGGTAGCCAGCGTGTCCGGCGGGGCCGCCAGCCCGCCGCGCTCCT